CCTGCTCGGCTCCGGCTGGCCACCCTGCCCGCCCCCGGCCCGCCAGACACGTGCGCCGGGAAGCTTCTCCTCTACCCGGGATCCCTGGGTGGGCTTCATGGGCCAAAGTGAAGTCTGAGCAGCCCCGCTTGCGGGGGGGTCTAAGGAGGGCTGCGCGGAGCTCTTCGACGAACCAGCCCTGCTTCATCTTCTTGCTCCTTCAAAACGGATACGCTGCCTCCGTCGCCATGCTCCCCCACCCCACCCTGCGTCTGATGAAATGTGGGAGCCGTTCCCCAGTTGACTTGGAAGACGAAAGTTTGAGGCAGTGTAGCTCCTTGTTAGTGCACCCTTCAGTGGTCTAAGGAGGGCTGCGCGGAGCTCTTCGACGAACCAGCCCTGCTTCATCTTCTTGCTCCTTCAAAACGGATACGCTGCCTCCGTCGCCATGCTCCCCCACCCCACCCTGCGTCTGATGAAATGTGGGAGCCGTTCCCCAGTTGACTTGGAAGACGAAAGTTTGAGGCAGTGTAGCTCCTTGTTAGTGCACCCTTCAGTAAAACGGGAGTGAAAGAGGACCATCCCCAGTAAAGTTCTGCAGGTCGTAGCATATAACTGATCAGCCAACATACTCCATGATGTGAAATAATTGTGGGAACTATGGGTGTTACAAAACTAGAATCTGCTTAAAAACAATAAGACAGAGGACCAGATTTACATTAAGGCTCTTTTATACTGCTTTCTCTTATACTGCTCTTATACAAGCCACTAAAGTGAGTGTAAATGTAATTTATGCCTACTTCAAGACCTCTTTAATTGCCTGGTTAGTGTAAAGGGACCTTAGTGTAAATGGAAACCAGGCCAAAACACAACATATATTTCAGTAAGAATGGCCATAGTAGGACAGAGCAATGGTCCATTTAGCCAAATATCCTGTCTTCAAACCAAAGATAGGTGCTTCAGAGGGGATGAAACAGAACAAGGCAATCATCAAGTGATGATGCATTGTGATCCAGTCCCAGATCTGGCCCTCAGTGACTTAGGACACCCAAATCATGGGATTGCATCCGTTATCATTGCTGCTAATAACCACTGATGGAGCTGTTCTCCATGGACTTATCTTGCTATTTTTGAGCCTAGTTAAGCTTTTGTCCTCACCGCATCCCAAGACAGTGAGGTCTTCATGTTGACTATGCAAACTTACTGCCTGTTCATTTCACTGAATGACTCCTGGTTGTTGTGTAATCTGAAAAGGGAAATAACACTTCTTTATTTTCTCTCTCCACATAGGTTGCCTATGGCTACGTCTGCATTGCAAAGTTTTTGTGCAAAAACCTGTGGAGCGTCCACCTCTTAAATACACTTTTGTGCAAAGAAATCAATAATAAAACGTCAGAAGAGAGGGCTTTTTTCACAGTAGGTAAACCTCCTTTTATGAGGCATAACTCTCTTTTGCTCAAGAGTTCTTGTGCAAAAAGGCAAGTGTGGACGCTCCAGAGGGAAATGGGAAAAAGCACGGGTGCTCTTATGACCATTCTGTGAATGGCCATCAGAGCTTTCTTGCTCAAGAGGGTCCATGCAGTGTGGACAGTCTCTTGCGCAAAAACACATTGCTTTTGCGATGTGCTTTAAGGTGTGGAAGTGCTCTTGCACAAGAAGTCTTTGCGCAAAAACTATTGCACAAAAGACTTCTTGCGCAAGATGCATGTAGTGTAGACGTAGCCTATATGTTCTTTTTTTGGTGGGACTGTCCATATTTTAAGCCCTATCCTAGCCTGCTACAGTTAGTAGTTCTGCTACTTCATATTTAAGTCCATTCAGAACTCTTGGGAGAATATCATCTGGTCTTGGTGATTTATTACTATTTAATTTGTTTAAAAACCACTTCCATTTATACCTCAGTTTGGGACAGTTCCTCAGATTTGTCACCTAAGAATAGCTCAGGCATGGGAATCCTCCCTCACATCCTTTGCAGTGAAAACCAATGCCAAGATTTGTGTAGTTTCTTCATGAGGGCCTTGTCTCTCTTGATCTCTCCTCGTGCACCTTTATCACATGGTAGTCCCACTGATGGTTTGTCAGGCTTCCTACTTCTGATCTACTTTAAAAAAAAATTATGCTAGTAATTGCAACCCAATTGTCAGGCTTCCTACTTCTGATCTACTTTAAAAAAAATTATGCTAGTAATTGCAACAGCTGTTATGGGTTGATCTGTTCATCTCATCAGGATTTTGTCACTGCATGTTGTACAGTCTAATTAGGAATTCATCTCTCATTAGCCTGGTACTACTACATTTAGTCCCATGGCTAATGGATGTCTGATATGTCTTGCAAGCCCTGCTTCCTGGTGATGGTTGATGTTTCATCTCTTTTTCAGAATTCAAATTGATAAGGACATGGATGCTGTTTTCCTTTGCTAGTGTGAATAGAGTAGAAGAAGAGGGCAGATTCCAAATACAGTTCTCAGTTAATAATAGATATATTTAAAGTTAAATATGGGTGTGTATTTTTGAATGTTAGTTTGTGTGGATTTTTACAGTATTTTTAACAGAATATCTAAAGTAGTAATCTTGTCCATGTAATAGAGTGTAAATTTAATTAGATCTTGAATCTGTTTGCATTCCAAATGAAAAAGCAAGTTTTAAAAACATGCTGCTACAAATCAGTCCACAAAAATATAATTTGGATATTGAATGGTGTTAAACAACATTGAGAGATGAGCTCACAGAAGTGAGGAAGTTAAAGGCTATCAGAGTAGATACAATTACCTGAAGGCTTTGCAAAATCTGTAAGTAAATAGAAGTGCTAGAATGGATCAGCTGCCAGTGTATTTTATCTTGAGCTGTCTGAGCAAGATAAGATGACACAAGGTACATCTATGCTGCGATTAAAAATCCACAGCTAGCCTGTGCCAGCTGCCTCAGGTTTAGAGAGCCTGGGCTATGGGACTGTTTAGTTGTAGTATAGACCAGTGAAGGGCAATCCAGGCTAGTGAGTGGGCTGTATGACTGACCCTCCATCTCAGTGGGCCGCAACATTGTCATTGTCATAACAAAGACTGTGTCCCAGCATGGGGTAATTTTGCTAACTGCACTTGCAGGGTATGCTAATTTAACCATAGCAATGCTTTGGATACAGAGAGAGCACACAGCGCTCAGAATGTTGTGTACAATCAGCAGGCATCTCACTTTGCATGCCCTTGCTTTATGTGCGTGTGACTTTAGTAATACCAGTAGGAAAAAAACTGCAGACGAAAACAGAATCTGGCATCTCTGTGCATGGGCAATGGTGAACAAACTGTCTCGTGGGCCACACATAGAACTCCAGTGGGCTGCATGCAGCCTTGAGGTGCAGGTTGCCCACCACTGGCTTGGGCTGGAATCCGGGCTCTAGAATCCTGCTAGATGGGAAGCCAGAGAGCTCTGGCTGCAGCCTGAGCAGGAACCTCTATGTTGCAATTAAATAGCCCTGCTAGATGGGAAGCCAGAGAGCTCTGGCTGCAGCCTGAGCAGGAACCTCTATATTGCAATTAAATAGCTTCTTAGGCTGTGAGAGTCAGCTGGCACAGGCCATCTGCAGATACCTAATTGAAGTATGCAGTGTAATCAAAACGTCACCTTATTTACATTAGTGCTAGAACTGATGAAGCTTAGCTGCTGTTTACACAGCTGTAGGAGAACCTCACAAAAACCTCTGTCTAAGGTTATGTCTGCACTGCACAGCTTACAGCAGTGCAGGTGTGCTTGTCTGTAAGGCATGCAGTTTGGTCACTGAGAGGTAGCTGTGTTAGTCTGATCTTGGTAAAACAAAAAAAGCAGTCATGTAGCACTTTAAAGACTAGCAAGATGGTTTATTAGGTGATGAAGAAGTGGGTCTGTCCCAGGAAAGCTCATTACCTAATAAATCATCTTGTTAGTCTTTAATGTGCTACATGACTGGCTTTTGTTTTAGGTTAGTCGTCTTGTTAGTCTTTAAAGTGCTACATGACTGCCTTTTGTTTTAGGTTAGTCACTCTTAATCTAGAGATCTACAGACAAAACCATCACCAATGAAGGGTGATAGCGTTTTCATCAGGAAAGCATCTCCCAATTACAAAGGGCTGTTTTGTAAAACTTTTGTCATTCGGGAATTTGTTTTCACACCCCTGAGCAACAAAAATTTTACAGACAGAAGTGCAGTGCAGACATAGCCTAGTATCAGGCCAAAGGCCCAAACTTGCAGCCCTTTCTGTTTTGATCTTGATCACTGTTGCAGAGAGAAATCTTCAAGATTTGGTCTTCAAACATCCCTACAGAAACTTGTATGATCTAACTCAGTGTTTCTGAACCAATGGTACGAGTACCCTTAGGGGTACTCAAGAGAAGTTGGTGGGAGGGTGTGTTCGTCAACACAACTGAAATTTGGAGAAAACTGAATTTTTGTTTTAAGTTTTACAGTGCTTTATTATTTTTGTACTTTTTAGACCCAAAAATTAAATAGCTTACCTGACTATGATTAAGTTGTTTAAATAAATGTGTTGCAATGGTAGAAAAAAAATTGTGTTTGAAAACTGTAGGTACTGGAGTACTTATAATTGTTTCTTTAAAGGGGATACTTTATTTTAAAAAAAAGGTTGAGAAACACTGATCTAACTTACCTAATGAACTATAATTTAAAAAATTTAAACCTTGCTTTACTAATAATAAGTCACTCCTAATAAATCAGTGATGAAGCTATGTTTATTTTAGTCAACAATTGTGTTTGTATGTTGAGCTCCATTTCAATATGTAGCTTCCGATTTAGTGATGTAGTATTGCACAATATCATACAATACATTTCTCGAACACTTGCTACTTATAGATGACATTATCACAAAGTTTATGACAAGTTGGAAGCTTTAAGGTGAATGAGCTAAGCTTGAAGCAGGACCTTACTTTATATTCCATGCTCAGGACAATTTTAATATAGCCATAGAGAATTCTAACCCCCCCTATTAATACAAGAATTGAATGTTTCCACATTTTACCTTAATTTTTGCAGCCTATTCATGTCAACTCTCAATTTGTGAAATAAATTTTCTTATTCATGTATATATTGATGTTACTTTTTTTACTAACTTTTTTAAAATTTTGTTTTTTATATTGCAGAGATTGGAATGGGATTAACAGGCTTTGGGGTATTTTTCCTTTTCTTTGGAATGATTCTCTTTTTTGACAAAGCACTTTTGGCTATTGGAAATGTAAGTGTTCATATTTTAGTTTGTTTCTACACCTAGTTTTGATGTGGAAAGATAGGACATTTTTAAGTCTGATGCATTTGTATTGAACATTGTCTTTAGGACCCTAGATTTAGAATGGACCATCAGGGTCATCTTCTAGTCTACCTGCCTGCCAAGATATAGGATTTGTTGTGTATTAACTGTTCAGGATAGATGGCTATCCAGCCTCCTTTTGCAAACCTCCAGTAAAAGAGCTTCTATGACTTCCCAAGGGAGTCTATTCCATTGTCCTACTTTTCTTCCACTTAGGAAGTTTTTCCTGAGATGTAATCTAAATCTGCTATAATGACTAAAATGGAATCTGGTATAAAAGAGACATTATGTTCAATGACTATAAGTGCTGAACTTTCACTGACACTGAAAGTTAAATCAATCTCCCACCACTCCAATGGTGCCATTGAGTCAGGCTTGGGTCAGCCTCAGTGAAGAAACTTGTGCTGCAGCTTCTTGTGTCACCGATTCAATAGATTGGACTTCTAGGATTGACTGTTGTGGCTAAGTTTACACAGCAAAGAACCACCTGGGCCAGCTGACTTGGACTCATTCTGTGGGTCTGTTTCATTGTTATGTAGCTTTCTGAGCATGGGCTGGAGCATAGGCGATGGGTATGCTGTGGGGTGAGAGAGTCACAGAGCTCAGGCTGCAGCCTAGGCCCAACTCTACATGTAGTGAAACAGCCCTGTAGCCTGAGCCGTGAAAGCCCGACATAGCTTTTTTTTAATCATCTTGTTTGTAAGATAACTTAGAGTGTACATATTTATTTCCATCCAAGAACTCTAATATTCTGTAAACACTAACAAATTTAACCTCTTAACATTTTTGTGGGGTAGCGAAGTATAATTAAGTGCAAATTGCTAATAATCAGCAATTAAAAAAAACACTCCTTGTCTGTGGTGTGTAGGAATTTTACTAGTCAGTGCCTTTATCTTCTGGAGTCTTAGGTTTTCAAATTTTAAAAAAATGTAGCTTTTGTAACTGAATATAAACTGATGTTCCCATTCTAAATCTGACCATTCCAATACTTCTGGTGGTGTTCGCGGCTTTGCCTGTCTATAGAAAATGAAACTGACTCGAAATGTGTTGTTTTTCAGATAAGCTAAGAATGGTAGCAGAAGTGCCTTCCTCATAGCATCAAGAAAGAGAATTTCAATATGGCAAAACATGCATAAAATAAATGTTTGGCATACAAAAGGAAAAAAACAAAAATATAGGGCAGGAGAAAAAATAACTCGATGTAGGGAATGTGATAAAAGGTGGGAGAGAGAAACA